TGAGAGTTACGTTTCCTTGCCTTTTTATATTGTCAACTAGAACCTCAATATCTTTTTCAAAGGGAAAAAAAAAAAAAAACAAAAACAAAAAAACCTAGGACCTCAATTTGTTTCCCATCCAACACAAGAAAAAGGGATCATCAAGCAGTTAGACATGAATTAAAAGGAAAAAAAAAATGTAGTGCAGGAAGATATTTCAAAGGAGCATTTTATTTTTCCTATCCATTGACCCAAGAAGTGAAGAAATAAAGAAAAAATTTTAATTATCATAAACTTGGGTTTTCTTTTATCATAGTATTCAGCTTATTCTATACATTTATATTTGTCATTAACTTCAAGCACGCTGTAAAAATTTACACAGGTATACTGAATGATCAACTTTTATTAAGACAAAACAGCACGACATTCTGATAAAGAAGTTTGACAGGAACAAGGAAAGGAGGAAAAAGCAGAAAATAATTTTATGATCTCACTATTTCATCAGCAAACAGCAAGAAGTTAGATCATAAATGAAGTTTCACTTTTCCAGACTGCAACAAACTTTCTGAACAATAGAATTGTCCAGTTGTTTAAATTACTGAACCAGTGGAATTGATCATGCCTCAACTGAAAAATTAAAATAAAATTTAAAAATGACTTCGGAACAATAATAAAAAGATAATTCATGATACCAGATCATAGAACCAATCAAAAGGGAAAGGATCTCAACATTTAATGCATTAGTCTTCACAGAGAGCATTCTTCCATACCTTATCAAAACTACCATTAAAAGGATCTGATCCCATGCTTTTCTTTTTAAGATTGAAAATGTTAATAGGGATTTGACCAGATATGGAATTTATGAACAATGTACTAAATGTAATGAAAACCAAGATAATCTGAAAACAAAAGACATCAGTAATAAGTATTAATTTCACCTAGAGATGAGCTGGTTGTATCATAACCTAATTTTTAACTCAGTTATCCTTTAGATGTAAATTTCCCAACAGTACTAAACAGAATTTCTCAAGAAAAAATTATGCAAAATGTACCTGTACTTTACATTTTCTATTCTTTTCTAATACCCACCACATCCATCAGTGGAAAATTTATTGCATTTGTCATGCAACAAAGCATAAAGATCTTATTTTTTTTTTTGAGTATTTTGAGATTAAAGCATGCTAACCATTTCCAAATTTACCAGAGTTTCAAATTTCCCAAATAAAACTCTTATTATGGCTTTTACATACAAGCTAGTTTTGAATTTATTTGAAGTCAATTTTGACAGCTTTTACAATGTACACATCAAAATTTGGCATAGTAGCACCATTTGCCTACCAAAACATCTAACTTCTTTTAATTAACAAAGTCAAATTTTAACACAAAGTTCTCATAAGCAGATTCATAAGATGAATGTAGCTCAAATGAAGATGTAAAAATGCATCTCAAATCACACATAATAAAGCAAGAAATAAAACTATTTCTGAGATTGAGGCCAAAACAAAAATTGAGGACATAGAGAATTATGACTTAGATACCATGATATCCTTGACTGGAAAAGGATTCATGTAGATGACCTGAACCATTATAAAATAAGGTTTAATTACATATCTATTTGAGTAACTATATTTTTCATTGTAATTGCATGAAGGATCCATAGTTAGAATAGCTTCTCTACATTAGAAGTTGACACTTCACCAAACAGAACTCTCCCATGTAAGAAAAAGATTTTGGTTACCTAGAATCTGCAGCTCAAAATTTGAAGCTTTTGGAGAAGAGCTTTCACAGGTAAACTTTTGAATGGAATCAAATTTACTTCTATAATAGTGCATCCATGATCATACTAAATAAATTAATACTATAGCTCCAAGAAAAGCTAGATTCAAAGAGCTAACAATTCTTCTAAGTTATGATAGCATAACTCAATAAAACCCTCTTAGTTAACACTTACTAAAAGAAAATTAAAGTGTTAAAGGAAAATTAGTGAAAGTAAGGCATAGCTATTCCTTGTATGTGATATTATACTTACGAATTAGCTTATGTTTGTAGTTTGACCCAAGGAAGCCACTCCATCCAACCGCTTAGCCCTTTAATCTCAATCCAATACCTTTCACAATCTTCAATTGCCCCAAAACGTTTCACCTTTTCACTCTAAACTAATCTCGAACATTAACTTCTACAATTGTTGCTTGCAAAGTCCAGAAATATATTACAATAACAGATTCAACAAGGTTTGTGTGACATTCATGTTCAGGAAGAGATATAAGTATCCTTCTTGTCACCCTATTTTCTTCTGAATTATTATTAGATTTGAATAATCAATAATGACCCATAGAAAGACATTTATTTTCAAGAATTGGGGAATGATTTGATTTTCAACCCTTTCGTTGAAATGAAACATTTTCAATTACATAGATTTCAGTTTGTCACATTTTTAAAAGGCTAATATAGAGTAACTTCAAAACCTGAAGGATTAAAGCTCCCAAAATCCAAAGAACACCTAATTTGTTACAAACTGATGATTGAGATAGCATTTGATCTCTATGTTCTTGAAATAAACTCATCCGACAGAAGTTATGAGGATGCACAACCATCAAGAACAAGACCTTACCAAATAGAAGGCTAACCACATGTCATAGCAATTCAGATGCATCTTTTATCCCCAAATGCCAAGCTAAAGACAGCCATATAAGGTCAAGAAGCTCCTTTGATCTAAAGACCACCTAATTCGTTACAAGCTGATGATGCAGATAGCATTTAATCTCCACATTCTTGAATCATGCCCATCAACAAAAGTTATGCAAAGCACAAGCAATAAGAACAAGACCTTGCCATGTAAATGGCTAATCACATATGAAAGCAATTCAGATACATCTTCTTATACCAAAATGCCAATCTAAAGATAGCTAAGGTCAACAACTCCTTTCCACTAATAAAACAAAAAGTGGCTTCTAGTCTCTAAAACTAGAAAAAATAGATCTCAAGTTCTATGCGTGAAATGGCAAGGAGGGATGCATGAAGCACAAGTACAAAATGACCAATGATTCAAAAACAATCAACTCTATGTTAATGTTAAAAGAAATTGGAATCACAAGATTTGAATAATTGAAGAACCTAGAAATAGAAGTGTTCATTAAACAATACTACTGCAACTTCAATTCTGAGTCACTGCCCAGCATCACCCCAAGCTTTACAACACCAAATGGGCTCCTACAACCAATGGCATCTATACATACTACAGTAAGTCTATCAATATTTTTATAAATACTAAAAAAATCTGGAAACAGAGAATTCTGTGCCAAACTAGTTCACCTTCTTTACTAGAAACACGATTACCCCCAAGATGACTGGTTTAAGCAACTACAATGAATAATAATAGAACTAACAAGTGAAGCCACACCCTTCAAGAACCAGAGAAAAGGACAATAAGCATAGAGAGCTCAGTCCATAATCACATTGTGAATTCCAGTTGTATATAACTTTCTTCTTTTTTATTAAAAATCTAAACCTATATTGATGTGAGGACATCACCAAAAGAAGAGAAAAGGCAAGCCACATATGCGATCAACACAAGTACAATGCAATAGATGTGCATAGTAAAATAATAATGCAATTTGTACAAATAAACTTTGAAAAAAAATGAGTTGGTAAGTTCAACAAAGTTAAAATTTGTCGCTTCTTTAAAGCTATATATGCTCACTATAATTACAGGGACAAGGGGTTAAGAAACAGATGTACTAACCAAGTCAGAAACATGGGCCTACACTCAGAAGCAAATGTTCCCTGGATACATTTGTCAGGAAAAATTATAATATACACAATCCTGCCAAGAGTGTCCGCAAGTTATCCAACAGTGCCTTGGAGTGGTTGTTCAATTATATCCACAAGTTGAATTGCTCTTTGAAAGCAACTTGTATCGCCACAACTATATAAAAAGTAAAAAAATAAATAAATAAATAAATAAAAGAAAAAAGAAACGGGAAAAGATAATTTAGATGGATAGAGAAAAGAGCTCTTTTTGAGTTCAGTAACTAAAGGACATCCAGGAAATAGAAATTCTGGGGATGGGGCCATTGATTAATTTGCTTAAGAGGAAGGCTTGTTCAATCTTAGCTCAGAAAGTTGTGAAATAAAAAAGGAAAAGAAAAGAGTTGAGACAGAATATCTAAGCAAACAGATTCATTGCTGAACATCTCCATTATCTTAGCTTCCCAATATATCCACTTGAATTACAGTCACAAAAGTCAAATAATGTACACATATTTAACAGAATAAAGATAGCTATCAAAACTTTGGCCAAACAGAAGATAGCGATCAAAAACCACAAGAAAAGGGAAAAAAATACTTGAAAATTTCACTCTGACTTGAAAATCGAAAGGATAAATATTCTCCTAGAAATCAGAAATCATTCAATATAGAAGTAGTTTAACTTACTTAAAACACAATGTAATTTCTTCACTCTCAAGCTGGTCTCCAACAATTAACAGTAGACATGTCTGGTCGACATGGCAACATGTGAGAAACAACATGACCTGATAGGATATGACAATGAAATCATTCTTTTGTTGAACCCATTTGCTTGTACAGCAAATATCTGACTTCTAAGTGACAAAGTCGCAACTCTTGAAATTTTACCTGAACTAGGAGCTCCTGCTGGTAAGTTGTTAGCCATGTTAATTGGAAAAACCAAATTATTTGGGGGTGGCCTTTCAACCTGCGGCCTAAAATAACCTGCCATGGAAGAATCAACATAAATATTAAATATATTAAAGGACATAGACATGTTAATTCTCATCAGAAATATACTAAAAAAAAGCAACAGCATTTGAGCACAAGTCAGTAAAAATTAGTAATATAAATTTGAGGATCCTATATTTACTGGAACACTAAGTAACAAATAACAGGGAAACAGAATAAACAACAAAAAGTACAAAAAATATGGATCAAGTTAGGACATCACACATGTTTAAAGAGCATCCTAAACCACACTTTCTAGAACCCATTAAAACTCTTATGCTCAATTTGTGGTTTAAGGTCAAAACTCAGAAGCATTAATCAAACTTGATTAACAAAACTAGCAAAATATAACAAAAATTACCTTCTTTTGATCAGCAAATATAACAAAAATTATAAGTCAAAACGAAGCAAGAGGTTAGCCATAGCAGCAATTTAAAGCAAACAAAAATGGCTAAGGTGGTGGCACGGTTATTACCCATCGTCACTCACCATCACACAGGTCTAGATGGCAAATGTTACAAAGTTAAAAGGAATTATGCAAGTGAGGGAGAGTTTTAATTGCGCTACCCACCCCAATTCTTTATATTTGTCTATATTGCCTTTCTTTTATTATTGATAAAAGGTTCTTTTTTCTTTCACCTCATCTAGTTCACTTTATTATCCTTCCAATTTTCACCTTTGCCTCTCCATCTGTCCCTTAAATCAAGTTAACCCTGCCAAGTGCTAATACAGACCCTTTTTTTCCTTCAGTCATTGCTCAGGTCTGTGCATGACTCTGTAGTTTCACAACTGCAGATATTGTATTTTTTTGGAACATAATTTAAATATTATATTTCACAAAATAAGGTACAATTCATTTTAAGTCACTATCTCTTTCACTTTTTCACTCTAGATCATGCATAATATGATTTATATAATCAATGAGATAAGTCTCATACAACTACTGCAATACACACAACTTTATTAGCTATCAACCATTAAGTGCCTGTCTTCAATGTGCATCTACACCCAGATAAATGATATTTAAAAATAAAAATTTCAATATTAACTTTGATGCAAAGAATTAATACCACATACCTTCCTGGACAGACAAAGGACCTGGATGGGATGGATTTCTTCCTGCCACCCACCCTCCCCGCTGATTATCAGCATTATATTCAGCTGAGGGCATCCTCCACTGTTCATCAGCCACATATTGCCTCCGGCTATCATGCTGAGGCGGCAAGGAGTATGGAGGATATGAATGCTGGGGATGTTGAGGAATTGCAGGCTTTGTGAATGAGAAATGGCTGGATGGATTTTGAGGCAAGCTAGGATGTAAAGGCCTTTGCACAAAGGTTGTATTACTTGGTTGAAATTGCTGGCTTGGTTGAGAAGATTGGGAATTTAAATAAATGTCATTATGTCCATATTCCAATTGCCTAGAAGAATTATATCCTGAAGGTTCTCGAGAAGTGCAGACCCTAATTGGAGCAAAGCAAGACGACTGCTGTGGAAACAATTCACTTTTCCCAGCAGCATCAATATGTGCCCCTTGTGAAGTATTTACTACTCTTTGAACAATTTGGTTACCCTGCAGCAGGATGTATAGATTAGATAAATATATTCACATTATAAACAGCCAGAATACAAAAAAAACAGCATCCAAAACTCTTACATTAGATGTGCTGGGGAATTCATGAGGTACAGTGGTTTGATATGCTAACTGAGAAGACTTCACTGGTGTCTGGGACAGTAACGTACATTGAGGTGGTGCCAGTGGTTGAGGTGCAAAGGATGGTGGAGGGCTCGATGGTGGAGGGCCCAATGGCGGTGCAGGAAGAGGAGGTGGCTGTGTTGGGGGAGGGGGAGGAGGAGGGGGAGGTGGTGATGGAGATGATGCAGGTGGGGGTGGGGGTGGGGGTGGCGAAGGAGGCAAAGGTGGCAATGGAGGAGGAGAATCAGGGGGCAATGGAGGAGATCCCTCAAGTAAAGGGGAAAACTCATTGCCACTATTGGAAGCCAGTTCTCGTAACCTATCCATGCCCTGCTGCTGCACATCCATTTCAAGAGATGTATTTGTGAATGGTCTTTCTTCTTTCAAGTGCCCAGATACATCTTCCATTTCAAGCTCACCATCCACATCTTCTAAGATGCAATGCCGCCTGTCATTAGGAGTAACCATGCATGTTTCTGACTCTACTACAGCACAAGCAAGCTCCACTGGTGATGCATCACAAGCATCTTTACACGAACTGCTAGGAAGATCTTCGTCCTCTTCTTCTTCAAATGCATTAGATGATAAAAGGCCAGGCAATTGAAATGTAGCATTGCTGAAACAATGACCAACAAATCACATGTCAGAAATCTATTGTACAACAGAAGGAACACACCCTACAAGTGGAGGGCAGACAAAAAATATTGCACACATTAGAATTGACTTGAAAGAGCCCTAACATAAAACTGAAACAACATACAGAGCTACCAAAATTAAACCCTTAAGGTATTTGGAACAATGTTATGCTCATATCTTGTGATAATCTATTTGCAAGAAATATAAGAAATAAACCCCACCCTTTACAAAAATTGAAGTGCACAAGATATGTACAGGCAGCAGAGCAAATTAGAAACATGAATATTATTTAACTGCATCACTACAATGATATAGAAGTGAAGTAACTCAATCTGAACAACCTAAAAAAAGAAACCCAGTTCTGCAAATGAGACATTTACTGCCCTGACTCTTCCCACAACCCTAGAAATCTATCAGTATCCTACCTTTCTGCAACATTTCCATTTTAATCTCTATTGAAGCAAGACAAAAGTTCAGGAAGAGACAAAGGAAAAAACTGAGTATTTTTTCACTGCAAGTTTGGAAAGATTTCACAAACCTGCCATACTCATCAACGAGCATGCCTTCCATTTCTCTAATGGGATCATCTATAGCACGTTCTGATCGAGAAGGACGTCTAAGGGAAAACCCAGTAATTGTGTCATTTTTTGAACCTCCAAAGTCATCCATGTAGCGCCTCAAAACAGACTGAGGAAAAATTTTCCTATCCAGCCACAACCCTAAAACCTGAAGAAGAAAATAGAACTCTTAATCCTGAATGGAAAATGTTAAGTTAACAAAGTTCCTACATCAGATAAAAGTATCATGCCTTGAGACACTGGCGGCGATTTTCACGAGCACTATTCCCCAATGGAGCAGCAGCTGCAAGTAGACGTGGTAGTGCTGCTTGAACTGTAGGGATGTATGAAGCACCCGCAATGCCTGATTAAACATTAATCAATGCCAAATTATCTAAATTGGAATAATAGTTTTTTCTTTTAGGAAAATACATTGGAACATAAGTTGCTGGCTATCAGGTCATATTTTGGAGAGAGAGATAAAGGAAACAGTCCTTCCAAATAAAATACAATGCGGATTTTAAATTTTCCAAAGGAATTTGGATTCAAAGCAAAATATTGTTGCATGAAGCATACATAGCACAACAATGATAAAAGAAACAATAAGAAAAGGCTGCCTTAACTCTTCTTGTTAACTGCAATACTAAAAGCATTTATCATCTGAACCAACCTTTTTGATTATGAGAACACTGGGTGATTGAATCCACCAGAAAGAAGAGATCAATTCTATGACTTAAATCAGGCTCACTTTCCAACTTCCGAATGAGAAGTTCCACAACCTGTATGCAATCATGAATCATGTAGCTTTATAACATTTCCAACAGGCAAAGCATATCTTAAAAAGATAATCAGCCTACTAAACATCGCATGTCATAACAATTTTTTTTCTTTTAAAAATTTCATAAGTCATAAAATAGAATAATTCAGAATTCCAGCTAAACAGCCCCCTGACCCTCTAAAAAGCTACTTCTGATCTAACATCACAAATGTAGATATATGTGATGTGATACACATGATAATCGCACACAATGTATGGCACCTTAACATGACACAACAAATTGAAAACACATGGTCTACCATAGGGTTTAACATCTTCATCTCTGTAGTTGAACCATCAAAAGTCACCCGGAATAAGTCACATGGTGACGCTATTTTCAAGCCAAAATTGGCCCCACACACTCCAAACACATGGGCCCCGCAATAATCAGCCAAATTTGTCCATACTTTAAGCATAATAAAAGCTCTAACAACAAGCTATTTAATTGGGCTTCCAATAATAACAAACTATTAAATTGTTTCCAAGATACACCCATTACCCAAAAGCCTCCATAAAAATGTCACCTTGCTCCATTACCAAGATGATCACCTTATAAGTATGACTCGACCACCCGGCTTGCCACTCCCCCACATCATTTCAAGCCCCACCATTGAAAATAGATGAGCATATGAGCATATTTTTTAACCTACCTCATTGGAAATGCCATACTTGGCACAATCAATAGCAAGACGGGTTGCACGCCCAATACTTTCTTTAGTCCTGGAAAGAGTCTCTATCATTCCTTCAAAGGCATCTCGAGCAACGGCTGCCTCTGTATCACCACTAAGTGAGCCTCCTGCAGCTCTATGTCCAGAGCTGGCCCTTCTTTCCTCAATCTCTTCTGTTTCTGGTAGACTTTGTGAAGCTGCCTGGTGACTAAGATTTGAAGGAGAAATTAAATTAGCTTGATGAGGGAATCCCTGTACATCACCCTGCATAGAATTGCCAATAGCAGACAAAAAGGGGTGAACTGTAGATGGGCTTGGACTCCTGCCCTTTAAATCAGAAATCGACATCAAAACAGAACTGGCATTTCCAAGAGTAAATTGTTGAGAGTGAGCTTGTCGCCTCTTTGCTTGAGCAGCCGCAATAAGGTGCTTCATAGACATAACTGAATCTGGAGTCTTGGAATCAATCAGTGAACCACTCCTATCTTCTATACCAGTATCAAGTCTACATACAAAACAAGAAAGTGAAAACTGTAACATGAAACTTAAGATAAACAATTAACCAACATATTTCACTGATAGAATAATACCCTATCAAAGTTTCCGAAGGAACACCACCACCATCATTTATCCTTGATATTGCTTTTGGAGTAGATTTTGGTCTATCAACAGAAGCTGCTGGCTTATTTCTTTGACCCGATACCTGATTTTGAGAAGACTTTAAACTTCCAGAACCCAAAACCGATCCCTTTGCTGATCCAGGCTGAGTCTTTTTCTGAGTTCCATTGTTGGAAACTTTAGTGGGAGCTCTGGTGCCTTTATGTTGCTCAACAACTGGTTTTGTAGCAGAGACTGAAAGAGGAGACTTTTTTGGGGAAATTGGAACTGGCTTGATCTCCTTAGAAGACAAAGGCTCAGCCTCTGACCTTTTAGGACTAAGGGAGACATAAGCAGCTGGCTTCCTCTCAACAGTTCGAGGAAGAACAAGTGAGGAAGGCCCAATTTCTCCTTGTGCAGAGACCTCCTTTGAACCAACATTCTCAAACCCAGCAGAACCACCAACTTTTGGCTGAGCACAAGAACCCATATGATGAGGACCAGTTCTATTAGAAACATCAGAAACAGATAAAGGTTCTTTAACATTCCTCACAGATCCTCCATGAACAGGAGTTTTTGGTTTATCATCGTCCTCATCTTCATCATATAGGCAAACAGCTCTTCGCTTTTTCAGTGATTGGCTAACTGGAATTTTGACATTATTGGAACTGGAAGCACCAATCTTCAAATCACGTGAATTTTTTCCAAATTTACAATCAGAAGAGTCAGACCTAGGTTCCAAAGCCCTCCGACGGCGCTTTGCTTGGGAAAGCTCTGCTTCATCACCAGAATTACCAGACCCCATTGCTGTTGGGGCTCGCAATGCTAAAACAGGTGGAGTCACTCTTTTGAACTCTGATTGTTTAGCTGTGTTATCATTGTCATTATTAGAGCTTGAAGCATGATTCATGTTTCTCCCTTGTGATCCCTTAGAAGCAACATTTTTAATATCTATACACTTGGACATTTTGGCAGGATATAAAATCTCATCCATTTCTAACTTGGGCCTTTCAAGTCCAGGCACACCACTTTTTTTCTTACCAGATGTCTCAGCCTTTGAATTGACCAAAGCATCCCATGCAATACCAGAGCGCTTAACATTTCTTTTGGCTTTCAGCAAATCCTTTTCTTTTCTACCACCACTGTGATTTGAATATGTTTTAAGAGCTCCTGATGAAAAACTCCTCACTCTGCTGCCAGAAACCTTTTCTTTTACTCCATCCTTCAGTTGCTCCTCAGAATCAGGCACATCAACACAACTGTCAGACTTCTCATCCTTCATTGGTGTCACAACTGAGCTGCTATTTTTGTGTCCCTCAACCACATCTTCAGATCTTCTCCTTAATCCAGAAGCAAACTTCTTTGACTTCTGATCATCTGTAAAATTTTTCTGACCATTTTTTGGGTACTTAGAATGATCAATATGTGATGTTTTATCACCAGAAACCTCCTTCATATCAGAAAGATCATCCAAAGAGGATGCAGACAACTCAACCTTAGGTTGTGCACCATTTGATATTTTATGCTTTCTCTCAGAAGAAATAATGGGAGATGAGCCCCCACCTGCACAACCTGAAACAGATGGCTTTGTATCTTCATTATCAGTTTCACCTTTGTGGGACTGTAGATCACCTCCATCAATTGTAGTTTGTTCATTGGGTCTGGCAGCCGCTGTTCCATTCTTTAAATCAGACTCTGCTCCATCATCCTCAACAGGATCAGCAGAGGATACCTCACATCCAGGCCTTGATCTATCAGTATCATCTCTCAGACTATTTGACTTTTCTTTTTGTAACTCTTCAAATGCCAGACAGATTTCCTCCACAGCTTGGACAAAGTTCTTAGCTTTACCTTGAATCTTATCTAACAATTTACGCTTCGTTTCACTGGTGAATATTTGTATATCACCCGGCGCAACAAAAGCTCTGTGGAGTAGACAAAGTAAGAAAGTAAAACACATGCCAAAATCTCAAAACAAGTGCAAAAGAATTCTCAAAAAGTATGGGGAAAAAAGAAACATATGCTTCTTGCCTTCTTCTGAGTGAGTGCAAACACATTGGGAATGTGACTTATGCAAAGCCAAAAAGTTACCTTTAGTTCTAGTTATGAAAAATAAAAGAAAAAAATAATAATATTTCAAGGTTATTAATTCAAATTTAGAAGAATGAGCATAATATAAATAGTATATCCTGTGAACATGGGTCAGTAGACACAGTTAACCACAAACGACCCAAGGAGTTGTAAATGTCCAGAATAGACTGAACATCAATCAAAAGTTATATGCTGATAAAAAAAAATGCAAAATAAAAAAAGAAAAATCTAAATCAAAAGTTATACTGATAATCACAATTCCTGCTCTTACTTCAGACAAAACATCACTCGTATTTTTCTTTAAGACACACTTTTTAGTGTTGTCACTTATCGACACTTCTGTCATATCTGCACATTCACTGCCTACCACTTTGTACATGTACTATTCTTTTCATATAGACCCTCACCAGATTTGAGATTTTTCTTTGCTACAGATTGGAAATAAGGGAGACTCGACTCTTGCCCACACAAAATTAGTCATCAAAACAGAGAAAAATATGTAAGCAAATTAGAAAACCATTTGTTTCACCTTATCAGAAATCAGAAATGATCAAGCAGTAGTAAGCCCCAACCCTTTATAATGAAATTACAATCAGTTTGAACATGTTCCTCTCATTGATAATTGTAGCCTTGGAAACCAGACTCATAATACACCCACCACTAAACACAGAAGGAAAAGGATAGAAGACATGCCATAAGCCAGACAGCGTCACATCCTCCAATCTGATGCCAGTGCAACTATTAAACCAAATTAACAGTATAATTTTCAATATTTGTTCAGAACCATTCAGAATACTTCTGTAACTACATTCTACATTACATAAAATATTTTCCAATAAACTGATGTAATTAACAAATGTCTTAAGTTCTAATGGAACTGGCATAATGACCTGCAAATTAGGATGATGAATACACTTACGAACCTACATGGAACTTCAATTGCCATGAAGTATCAAAAGCTTCAAATATACCTCACACTCCTTGGATAAAATAGTATGCCAATAATAACCAAAAATGTGAACCCACAAGCCATATTTACCCTGTCAATGTTCACAGCCTGACAACCATATTCCTAAAGATGTCACCAGCCCCTTCTATCTATAATAGCCTCCGACAAGAGGTTCCAACCTCTTTACATGTCCAAAGTTCAACAATTTGACTGTATATATAAAAGGACAAATTGCCTATGGCCTACCTGTGGCTTTGGGCAGGTGCACATAATCCCTTGAGGTTTCAAATTTTGCACATATCAACTTGAGGTTTGCACCATAAGCCACTTGCCCTCGAGGTTACATGAAATGCCCTAAACATCCCTAAGTTCCTTTTCTTATTCCTTGAGTTTTCTTTTTGCTCTAGGTGGACATTTAGGACATTTCACATACCCCAAGTGACAAGGCACCCATTGTGCAAAATTCAAGGAGCTATGTGCACATTTTCAAACCTAAGGATGTTATGTGCACCCATCCAAATTCACAAGTACATTGTATGCACATTATGAAACCTCAACGAGTTATGAGCACTCACCCAAAAACCCAGGTAGCCAGGTTATGTCAAATTTGCCCTATAGAAAACATTTCTAAAGTGCAACAATAATGAAGGAAAGACATATTCCAAACAAACCATAAAGATATTGAGAATTTTGAGATGAACGTACTTCAGTAGAACATCATGACAAAACATGGATATAACCTTACAAGTTATGAACCACAGAAAATACAGAACACAGCATCATTGTAGCCATTATTTTGATAATATATTTTTTGACGTCTTTAAATAAAAAGGCGTGCAGAAATAGGGTGATTTTGAAGAAAGAGAAGATGTTAACAACCTTTTCTGAACTAACAAAGATAAGATATTGGCTACGGATTAAAGCTCAATTGCATAGGATAATGTTCTTATTATTTGAATAGTGTTTTAATTCAAGGGATTGCTTGAAATCTTATTGAGGAAATTTTGTAGCTATAGGATAATGTAATTGATATTTTATGTACCATGGGAGGTTTGCTGAGTGAGGAATGATTAGTTAGAAGCAATTTGCACAAATTATATAGATCTATATTGACCTAAGGGTTGGAGTACCCCTAGCACTCCTTTTATTAATAATGTGATATCTTTATGTTTAAATGAATGGAAAAACATCTCATAATTTGTGAGTGAATTATCAGTACAATTCCCTGATCATTTGCATACTTTATCATGTGTGCATGATGTTAACCATATAATTGACCATTAATTGTAACTAAGTTGGATGAACTAACCACCTACAACTCTACAATGGCACAGAGAAATCATATCATGCAAAGGAAACCTTTCCTTCTCAATAATTTCGGAGTCTATGTGAAGAAAAGCACAACGTAGTGAGACAAGGCCAACAAGTGGAACAAATAATACCAATATTCAATGTTCTCAATTGAGAGCTAACAAAGCTTACTTCAGTGGGAATATTAGGCCAAAAGAGTGCATTTTACATAAAATTTAACATTTCACTTTCAAGGGAGATACTCCATAGATTTCATTTTAAGTAATATGCGCAAAAGCAAAAGACATTCTAGAAAAGTACGCACGATACAATTCACTAATCAAATTGCTATGGCCATGTCCACCATCTAGAAGTAAAAATGCAAGATCAGATGGAAACTACTTACATTTCTTGTGTTCCAAAGAAATGAACAAAGTATTTCTTCGGATCATGACCTTGATCCCAATCCTCAGGTCGGCTAACCTGAAATTCAAAGCCCACAGAATGTGACTCAAAATAAGGACCGTGTTGCTTCCCCATTAAAGGAAATTTTTTTAGGAAAAAAAGGCACCAAAACAATAATAAATCAATGAGGAAAAAGCACCAACTAACAAGCAATTTGCATGAAAAAACAAACTAAATGGGAAAAAAGATTAGGCCAGCATCCTATAGTTGAGAACAAAACCCTTCCTCTACCCTCCCATCCCACCAAAGACAATAAGCAAAGAGGGAAAACGGAACCCATTAAAGAATTTTCTTTTCACTTCTCTTCATTTTTTGGAAGAAATAACCCAACAGTAAATCCTTGCATTGAAAGTTCAAAACAAGTTAGATATCAAAACAAGTCGGTTACCACTTCACCCTATTCAGCTACTACTTGCGATGCATTCAGAATCCTAAGTACTAAAAGTAGCTTCACTAAAAAAATAAACAAAGTTACATACGTAAATAATGAAACGAATATGATTCCCAGAAAGTGTAACTAAATAACTAACAAACGTGCAGAAAATAAGGCAATGTCAATACACGACAGTAGGAAATCCATCACAGATCCCCCTCAACAAAGTACAAACTCCAATCCAAACTAATTAGCATCAATATTCAACTAAGTAAGAAATGGAAGAATCCAAAAAAAAAAAAAAAAGAAGTAATTCTAGAAGATAACGACATAAACATGATAAAAAATTCAAGAATTAAGCCAATAAAAATAAAAAATAAAAAATAAAAAAACAAAAAATTGTGTAGAAAGAAGTGACCTTAGCAGGCCAAGGAGGGAAGCCCTTGACCTTGGCCAGAACAAGATCGCCCAAACTCAAATCCTGAACCTTGGCCTTGCTCGCTCCCCTTTTACGGCCACCAGCCATGAAGATATCAAAACCCTAAAAAACTCCCCGATGCCGTCGTTTCTAAACCAATCCAATTGCGAATTCCGGATTCAAATCCAATCCCGATAAAACCCTAAAGACAGAGAACAAAAAGCCGTAGCTCCGATATCTTGCCAGCAAAAACGCCAGCGGCAAAGTGCGCGGGGTCTTCTGGCGACAGAGGCGAGCTAGGGCATGGAGAGATTGATCGTAGAGAGAGAAAGTGAGTAGTATTGCGGATGAGAGAGAAGGAATGAGACCTAAGGGAGAGGCGGTGGGTCGAGGAAGAAGAGAAGGGAGAAAGCAAAGCTGATGTTTTTTGTGTTCTGGCTTTTGGGGCGATTCGGTAAATTTGGGGATTTTTTTGGGCACAAGGGCCGGAGAGTGGTGTTCTCGGCGTTCTTGCGAAGCATTCCCATTTCCTAATTATTAATAATACACTTATACATTATTTAGAAAAGTAAAAATTTTAAATTCAGAGTATTGTTATTTTAAATATTTGGTAAGATTATTTATATATTTTTAATAAATTTTTGTGTTTGTTAATTTATTAAAAATATTTTAATTTTTTATTATTATTTTATAACATTTTAATTGTTAGGATAACTTGATTTTTCTCTATCCCTACATTATTATTGCTTCTTTTTTTTGCAAAATAATGCTTGATTTATTTTATCTTATTTTTACTTTTTCACTACTACTAATTTTTTTTACCTAAAAATTAGAAATTAAACTTTAAATCTATAATTAAAAATATAAGTAACTTTATTATTAAATTACACAATTAATGATTCATTACTATTAATACTGTGGATTAATAATAATATATTAACCCACGAGCAGTAGATGAATTAATAAAGAATTTTTTCAATTTAACCAAAAATCTTGATTTTAAGTTTTGATAATCAAGTTTTATTAAAATTTGTGACGGAGAGTTTTGTTGCCCGTTGATTTCTATCCTACTCGAATCTAGATTAATTAATAACTCAATGAACTTTCGAATATAGGTGATTCATACAAAATAAAAAATAATATATTTGATTTCAAAAAATATAATAAAGAGAATGGGAGCTGAAGGTTCGCTCCTCTCCCCTTTCCTCCTTACTTGGATAAGTAAAAATGGGGCGAGAAGGTGAATAGATGGTCCCTCTACTCTCATTCACGACCATCCCTTCGTCTACAAAGAACTCCATCAAAGCGGTCACATGGTTGCGCGTCTCATTTAGGCAGGTGAAATATTTATTTGGCTTGAAATCGAATTCTCAATTATTAATAATTAATTAAAATTAAATTTTTAACTATTACTTTTGTAAAAAAAAAAATTCCCTCCATCTATATAACTAAAAAATTAAAAGATAAAAAATAATGTAAATGACTTTTGCCCTCTTTTTCTCTAAATTTTTTAACTAAATAGAGAATTTTTTTCTTTTTTTTCCTCTTCTCAAATCAAATATACTAAATGAATGCGCAGAATTATCTGCAATCAATTAAAATTATAATCAATAGATTGGGTTTGGTTAGTTTTTAAATTTTTTTTACTAAAATTCAAAGTGAATCAATTTTAAATAGTTTGGTTTTAATTATTAAGTGTAAAAATTAAAAAGTTAATGATTAGGACAAATATATTTGAAAGTGCTAATCTAAAATTTTTATATAAGTTTTTTAATAATATCTAGATTTTTTCACTACTTTCCACTATTTTATTTCTTTACTTAGACAATTTTTATCACTTTAAACATTAAAATTAATAAATTAACAATTAAAAAATTAAAAAATATGAAAAAATATAGGAATATTTTTTTTGGTTAAAATTAAAATCAGACCAAATAATTATCATAAAAAAAACTAAAACTGATAAATCCAAACTTTTTAATTTGGTTACTAGTTTTTATAATTAAAAACAAAAAAAATTAGTTAACTAATAATTCAATTTCGATCAAGCAAAACCGAACTATGCCTGCTCTCATTATGAACATACAATAGGAAAAAGAAATATATTATATAATAAGGGTCTCTTTAGTACAACAATTTAAGAGTAATGATTATTGGTTTTAACTAACTTACTAGAGATAAATGTTTAGTAAATTTGTATATTTTGAAACCATTGTAAATAAGATATTTAATAAAAATTTGTATCTATCCATTTAAAACTAGTAAATAACAATTAGAATATAAATCATTAATGAATTAAAAAAGCTAATTCAAGTAGTTTTTCATATCAAATTGGTAGCGAATGAGAATTTTTTAATTTATTGACAAATTTAATTTTTT